GGCTGGTGCGGGATCGGGCAGTGTTTCGTTCTGCTGTGCATGGGGTCGCTATGAGTCGGAAATGACTCGACGGCACTTAACAACAACGACGACAATACACAATCAGACTGTCTCATCTTTCTCTCATGGAGCCACTGGCGGGTTCAAACTTCTGACTTTCTGGTTAGCAGCTGAATGCTTTAACCACTGCACCACTAGAGCTCCTAGAGAGGGAACAGAGGTTGTATTTCTCAGCCTCTCCCCTGGAGAATAGATGCTCAGCCCACATGCCACAGTTTGTAGCCTGGTGAGTTTGCCTTCTCTGGGTAACTCTGGGGCCAGTGCTGTTCACGGCAGTTTCTCAGCATCTATTGGAGCTCACTAAATGCCTGTTAGGGCTGGGGGTGCAACTCAGATGTCAGTGACCTCAGCCACCGGTGGGTGATGACTCTACCTGTCCTTTCTGCAGCCTACTTCTGTGTCGTTGAGCCTCTCCGTCAACATACTGGCAGCCCACAGAGCCATCCACCACTGATGCTTCTCCTGGCATCATCCACTCCTGAGCATCTTTCCTTCCTCAGCTCTGGTGCCAGGAGGGCCATGGGTGCCCCAGGGTCTCTTGGTAGCTCCCTGTCTGATTGGAGTCACTCTGTGCTTTTCTGACACTTGCGCCTGGGCCTAAGCACTGACGTGTGCATTAGGAAGTTGAGTTTTCAAGCTTTGTGGTGCGTGTAGAGATAGGGTCTGAAGGGAGTGAGCATGGATGTGCATTTGATTAGTTTTCCGATTTTTTCCTCTTCTAGGTAATACTTACTAATATTCAGAACAGAAGCCCTAAGCCTGGCCCTGCTCCCCACGATCAAGAACTAGGTTTTTTCCTAGAAACAGGACTTCAGAGAGCCCATGTCCTCTATTTCAAAAATGGGTAAGCTTTCTTCTTTTTTCAATCCGCTTCCTAAAGAAGGAAAATAGAAGCCTTATCATGCTGTCTCTAGTTTAGTTGTTATAATAATCAGACAGTCTTAAATGTGAATGAGAATTGGAATATTTTTTGAAAAGAAATGAATATAGGCTCTTTTCATCTCTGTCCACCTGGAGAGTAAGATGTGGGAGGAGGGGAAGAGAAGGGTGCCTCTGTGAGTATGAGTCACAAGCACGGAGGACCAAGACCAGGTCGGGGATCTGCTGGGAACTGAGCTCTAATGATGTCCTTCCTCTGTGACACGGGTCCTGCCAGGTAGGCTTCAGGGAAGTTCATGAATTGGAAGCTCTGGCATTCAGGGCCATCTCCCCTTCCATGGCTGATCAGTTCAGAGACTTGGGTTTACCAGATCTCAGATGGTTTTCATGAAAGTGATTGTGGTATAATGCCATACAGGCCATTTTCTACTTGAGTTGCCTTTGGAACCAAAAAACCAAAACCAAACCCACTGCCATCGAGTCAATTCCGACTCCTAGCGACCCCTGTTGGGTTTCTAAGGCAGTAGTAGTATATCTTTACAAAGTCAATTGCCAGTCTTCCTTCTGTGGAGTGGCTGGTAGGTTTGAACCGCTATCCTTCTGGTTAGCAGTCAAATGCTTTAGGCACTGTGCTACCAGAGCTCCTTTGTCTTTGGAAAGGGTTTAAGAGGGGCTTAAGGGTGAAGGCTTGCTCTCTAATGCATTTGGGGTTTGTTTTTCTTGTCGTGCTGCTCTTGTGAGAAATGCAGTGGTTCTGTTCCAAATCTCAATTGTCCCTTGTTTTGCCACCGTGCTGCAGGATGTATGTGCATGGAGAGCAACAGTAGGTATCTGGTTCCCCTGGGTCCTCTGCTAGGCTTTGCTTGGGAGGTCTCTAGAGGCCTGTTCCCCTCTCTCTAGAATAGTCAAAGAGCGCTTTGAAAGGCAGACGGGACCCCAGTCCCACCCAGCCTTTGGAGAATGAACAAAGCTGTTCATCACCCTCTTTGTTTTCAAGAGCTTCAAACCTTGGGGTGTAGCTCATCTGTCTGGTGGCCGAGAGCCACGTGCACCCATTGTCCCTTGGTTCAGAGTAAGTGCTTGTTTTTCAAATGCTATTAAACTGTTTGTGGGCGAAGGTCTCTTTGCCCCAAAGGCCACTGGTTTAGATTGGCACACCCCACGGAAGACTCCGTGAATACCCCAAGGTTTGCAGTGGCTTGGTGGCTCCACACAAAGATGCTCCCTTTTTTGATCTCATCACCTGATTGAGATCAACTGAGTGATGGTGCATGTCCCCTAAGCTGAAGTTTAACTCCTGTCTTCTTTGTTGTTACAAAGGGAAGGGGGAGGGAGGGAACGTGGGCTGTTTTTCTAGTTATTTGCTTCTTTGACCTTCTCACAAATGACAGTTGTCCCAGAGGAGCCCCACCTTGCTCTCCTTCCCTGTAACCTGTGAGCATATGTGCTTGATTTGGAATCCAGAGATGGGAATTCATTCCCTTGGGGCTCCCCGAGGTAGAAACCAATACCTTCAATTGAAAATGTCTTGGGTAGAATTGGTAAGGGTGGGCCGGGTAACTTACTGTCATCTTTGAAGCCTGTTCATTGTTGAGGAGGAAGCAGGGCTGCTGGATCTGACCTCCTTCCCTGAAATGTTGGCCACCCACTGGAACCCAGCTGAAAAACAGCATGATGAGAGCTTTGCACTAGATGATGGGTCACATACTGGGCATTGCTTACTGACGCATTTCTCGTTTTATTTTAACCCAAGTTCATGCTAATGCCCATTGATGGAGCCTTAAAGGACTGCTTGTCTTTGAAGGCTTTCCTCTCTTCCTGTCCTCTTGTTCTCCTCTCTGGGTTCTGAAGACCCCAGTGATGCTATTGGACCAGGAACTTTTGAGGTTCCTGCTGGCTGGCGTGTACTGAAGGCTGGGGTCATACAACGATAGCAAGAGATTTCTTTTGGGTGGGTGGAAGTGAGTGGTGATTTGGAGACCAGAACACGTAGATGAAAGGAGAGAAAGCAGTGGGTGTTTTGGGATGTGCCACATGCCTTTGTGAGTGGGTACCTCCAGCCAGTATCTATGGAACAGGTGGCGCCTGTCCCGTGGTTTGTGAGTGGGTACCTCCAGCCAGTATCTATGGAACAGGTGGGGACAGAGGTGGCGCCTGTCCCATGGTTTGTGAGTGGGTACCTCCAGCCAGTATATGGAACAGGTGGGGACAGAGGTGGCACCTGTCCCGTGGTTCCATCTCCTAGTGTATTTGCTCCTTTGCTGTCTCACTGTCCTTTGTTTTCCTGAACTTTTCTTACATGGATCTGGGCCGAGGGGGCAGGGGTCATCTAACAAATAACAGTCTGACCAATTTGTAGTAGTAGGAGGACGTATTGTTAAACATTTTGTCAATAAGAGATGGAAATGAATAAAGCATGTCTTTTCCTTCAGAAATGTACTTAAATATGTGCTTAGCTTTTTGGCTGTCCCAAATACCTGAGGACTTACTGAATTATAATAATTAATAGCATTATTTTAGAGCTCTCCCGTCTTGTCCAGTAACTGGCAAACTGGTTAACTTGGGCATCTTTCAGAAAGACCCTGGCCTCAGGACCGGTTCCTGAGTCCTCCTCATCTCTTAGATCTGAATGCTGCTTTTACGTTTACCAAGCCCTTTTCCTCCTCTTCATGGATCATCACAGCATTATCTCCTTCATCTGCACAGCCCCCCTCTGCACTTGGCAGCAGAAGTAGCATGGCCTTTCTTTTACAGGAAAGTTGAAACTCAGAGAAGTCAGGAGACTTCCTCTAGGTCACATAATGACCTGACTTCCAGGTTTCTGACTGCAGCCCTTGCAGGGGAAAGGCGGGGGCTCTGTGTGGAGGGCCTTGATTGGACCCTTAAACGGCTGCCTTATCCTTCCCCCTCTCGCCATCAGGGGACCCTTGGCCCCAAGGACTCATCATTGTCAGAGATGCTTCCCAGCCTCTGCTGCTTTGGGTGTTTTCTCTCCAAACTCTCGCTCATGTCTCGTCTGCAAGGTGTTAAACCAAAACCAAACCAAACTCACTGCCGTCGAGTCAGCCCCGACTCATAGCGACCCCTCCTTGGGTTTCTGAGGCTGTATCACTACAGAAGTGGATTGCCCAACCTTCCTTCCAAGGAGTGGCTGGTGGATTTGAACCTCCAGCCTTCTGGTGAGCAGTCAAATGCCTTAGGCACTACGCTACGAGAGCTCCTTCCATGATGTTACCAAACATCTGTCTCTTCCGCCTTCCCTCTCCTTCCTCCTCCTCCTTCGCCTGTGCCTCCTCTTCCTCTCTGTGCCTGTCCTCTTCCCTTCCCTCTCCCCCTCCTTCCCTCCGTCTTTACCCTTTTGTCTTCCCCTCTTCCCCTCCTTTTTTCTCTACCCCTCTTTCCTCCATCCCCTTCCTGGTCTCTCCTCCTCCTTCTCTCTCTGTTTTTGCTCTCCCCTCCTCCCCCTTCCTCATCTTTCCTCCCCTTTCCCACCCCTGCTTTCTTCACTGCAGGGAGACCGTCACTGGTTGCAGCCCAGATCTGTAACATCCCCACCCCCCGCCCTGTAGTTCCCTGGGTGTGATCTGACTTGGAATGTACCCACATCTGTTTCTCTCCCCCTCTGGATGGCAGCAGCAAGCCTACTAAGGATGAAAACAGCTCCGGGCTGCACAGTGGGTGAAATCAGAGAGCTTGACCTCTGAGGGCCAGGCTGCAGCCCCCGAGGGCTCCCGGAATTGCCTCACCCATGGCAGGTGCTCTTATGAGGGTCACTGAGGGAATTCCAGGCAGAGGACTTGCAAGCAGCCCTTTTCCCCTCAGAGTCCCAGCTTCTTTATCTGTGCAATAGGGCTAAGACCACTTGCTTCAGAAAGCTGCAGGAACATCAAATAAGAAAATGCACAGGAAAGCAGTTCTCCAAATACCAGGCAAACAGCAAGTGGTAATTATAACTCCCAGTGACGACGATTCCTGGTTGACTTACCAGGAAAGTGGGACGAGATTCAGGTCAGACATCAGTTGAATCAGAAGTTGGTGGAGGAGGCGTTCTTCATTCTATTGATGAGTCTTGCCCCACCAGGGTTTGTAGGAAGGGCAATGGCAGCTTGTCTCACCAGCTGCTGGTTTAAATGAACTCTTTTCAAGATGGGTAACAATTAGTGTGAGTCTGACAGCCGATCACTGAGGTCAGTTCCTCAGGGACAGGAGATAGGCTGTCTGGTCTGACTGCAGGGGCACTGGGGCCTTCAGTCACTGGGAGCACAGCCAGCTGCAGAGAAGTGGCCTTATCCTGGGGTTCCTGCTGTGGGGAGGAGAACCATTGCTTCCCACCTCACTCACCGCAGTCAGAGGTCCAGAGAAGCATGGCTTTGGGGTGCCGATTATTTATCCCATGTCTTAGGAGTATTTCAGCATCTCGTAAACAAATGATAACAAAGACATTTCAAGTAACTTTGCTTTTTGTCAGCCATGTCAAATGTTCTGCATGAGCAGAATGTATTGTAGTGTGTGTTTTCCTTGGCTCTGAATTGGTTCTGTTTCAGGGATAAAGTGAAGTGAGTAGACCACTGCCCACCGGGACCTAGGTCACCTGACTGCTGGGTTGTGCTATTTTCTATGGGACATCACCGAGTTCTGCTTGGGAGCCCCCAGGCCAGGGAAAGCAGCATGTGAGGCAGGTGTGGTCAGACTTTTGGTTCCCCTGATGCACTTGCAGCCAAGCCAAGAGCAAAGTGGTACATATGGAAGGTGTTTTTGGAGTTTTGTTCATAAATGCTTGGTGGTGCAATGGTTATAGCATTCAGCTATCAACCAGAAGGTGAGAGGTTTGAATTCACCAGCTGCTCTTAGGAAGAAATAGGAGGCCATCTGCTTCCATCAGGATTTACATTTACATCTTTGGAAACCCCACGGGGCAGTTTTACCTCATCCTGCAGAGTTGCTGTGAGTCAGAATTGACTCAAC